TTAAGTGAAAACATAATAAATAATAACGATATAACAAAGCGAACAATTTTATCGAATATAGCCACAATTTTTGATCCCCTTGGTTTGCTCGGACCTGTGTTAGTTGTCGCAAAAATTATCATGCAACGTTTGTGGTGCATTCAACTCAGTTGGGACGAACCCGTTTCGGAGGAAGTCGCTGTAGAATGGCGTAATTATAGTGCACAATTAACAACATTAAATAATTTCAGTATTCCAAGATGTATACTATGTGAAAATAAAATCGTTAAATTACAGTTACACGGTTTTGCCGATTCATCTATCAGAGCGTATGGTGCATGTGTTTACATTAGAAGTACTGACGAAAACGGTCATCACACGGTGCGTTTGCTACAAGCGAAGTCCAAGGTCGCGCTCATAAAAACGATATCGCTGCCTCGACTAGAATTGTGCGCAGCCCTATTATTAGCACGGATGGTAAACGGAATAGTGCCGAAGTTGAAATGCAAATTCGAGCGACAATTTTATTGGACCGATTCGAGCGTAACCCTAGCTTGGATTTCATCTCCATCTGCTAAATGGAAAACGTTCGTNTTCTGCTAAACGTTCGTGGCGCATCGTGTTGGTGAAATACAAGATAAAACGTCCATAAATGATTGGCGTCATGTCCGCTCGGAGGACAATCCTGCTCATTTAATATCACGTGGCTGTACTCCAAACGAATTGCGAATTAATGCGATGTGGTGGAACGATCCCCATTGGTTGAAGGAGGAGTACGAGAAATGCCCGAAGTCATGTGTACAATACAGTGGTACAAACAATATACCAGAAGCCAAAAATACGGACGGAACAACAATTACGACTGTTGCATGCGTAGCGTACGATAAATGTTATTCGTTGTTATCTAGAAGGTCGTCGTTATTATTTATCATCAGAGTGACGGCGTATTGTCTACGCTGGCGGTATAACATGAATCGAGCAGTAGGTGATAAAAATAATGGGCCGTTAACGGTAAACGAACTAGATAGAGCAAATACGACAATCATCAAAATAATTCAACGCGCACATTTTCGGCAAGAATTGAGAGAGTTAAATAGTGCAAATGCGAATGTGTCAAAAAAAAGTAAACTACTGCGTCTTAGTCCATATATTGATGGGGATAATGTTATACGCGTCGGAGGTCGTTTAAAATACGCTATGGCGTTAAATGACAATCAGAGACATCAAATTGTATTGCCGGATAACTGTCTTTACACAAAATTATTATTCCGTAAAGTACACATGGATTTGATACACAGTGGACCTCAAGCCTTGGTCGCCTCTATTAGGCAGCGCTACTGGCCTTTAAAAGCGCGAAGTTTGGCTCGTACTATAGTACACAATTGCGTTAATAATTTTAAACTGAAACCTCAAATAGTACAACCGATCATGGTGAGTCTGCCTGGTTCACGGGTACAGAGTGGAAGAGCATTTGCCATATGTGGTGTAGATTTTGCGGGTCCAGTCATGATAAGAATGAGCTTGCGTCGTAAGGCATCATGTAACAAAGGATACATCAGCATATTTGTATGTTTTGCGACAAAGGCGATACATAACTTTTTGTAAAAAAGTTGTAATTTTGAATCCCCCTGTGAGCAGGTAAAGTGTCAAATTTATAAAAAAAATATACCAAATGATAGATAATGACATCATGCATCTATAAAAAAAAGAATATTATTGATATGTTCATTTTTGAAAAAGTTACGACAGTTTTTAGTAAAAAAAATTGAAAAAATTTCGAAAATTAGCGATTTTTAAATTTGTAATTTTTTTGGAGGTTTCCCCCATTTATAGGGAACGAGGGAAATTTTTTCAATTTTGAAGGGTAATGTCTTCGACTAGATACGATTTGTGATCTTTTGACGTATCGTTGAAAGAAATCCGTTCGGTGAGAGCTGAGAAAAAGTGGTAACAGACACAAAAAAAAAAAAAAAAAAACACATCTTAGTAAAACCAATACCTTCTCAGCTTCGCATCGAAGCTAAAAAAAATTGAAGTTTTAATCCTTTGGTTAATAAAAATAGAATAATCCTACCACCTTTCCATATTAAACTTCCTTACTTACAGTTAAATAAAAATTATTCATTGGTTATCATACAACTAATTACAAAAAAAAAAAATAGCGAAAATTATAATTATTTTCTTTTTTGTGAAACTTAATTATTTATTTTTTTAAATCATATATTAAATTTACTATATTTAATATTATTTTCTAAATCCATGCTAAACCAATTTCAATTTTCTTAATTCTATAGAAAATTTACTTTCTATTTTGTGATGGTGTCACGTTACCATTATTGTGAGAATTATTTTAATAAAATACAGACAGCACATCCGCTTCTTGAGACTGATGAATTAACAAATAGTATTGATTGCCAAATTGGCAATAATTCTAATTATTATAAAAACCCAATAGACCTCACCATCGTCGTCAGTCGACTCCAGTGCTTTGTGTCATTCATCAGTCTCAGTACTCGGTTGTCGCTGTCCGGCTTACTGCTTAAAGTAAAGTCTTTGTTTATTCCTTTTTAAACCTATCTACTCTCTTCCACAACATTTCATAGTACTTGTGTCTTGCACTTCGTCTGCACCTCATACCTAGGTGTTACCCTTATTCCCTTCCTATAACAACAGCCTTTCGACACCCACAGCTAACCCGGAGTGTCAGCCGAGCACGGTGACTGCTGTACGACAACACGCACGTGAATACCTAGACAGCAGGCACCACATCCTCATATTCATTTTCG